AGTCTGCAATTTAGTAAATTGGAACATTCCGTTTCTGTTTCCCGTCGCCGCGGGCGTAACCGAGCGAAACGTTTGTTGGGGGACCTCGGACATGCTTGAATATCGTCGTCTCCTTATTAGGGTGTCTTAAAAGCTGCTAGCCAATTTCCTTCCGTACCTCGAGCACGAATCTCCAATGGAATTAACTTGATGCACCGGGTAACGAGCCTCGTTCCGCTTTTGGTCTAATAATGCGAGCTGATTGTCCGCTCGAGCACACTAGAAAACGATTTCTCGCGCTCGTCCGTGTTTATTCGATGCCCAACGAGCACGGACGACGCGATTCTAATTATTAATCGTCGACTGTGCCTACCATATGCTCATCGATCCTCCATGTTCGATTAATTTCGAGGATTTCAGACCCAACGTCTTCCGCGACGAATTATTTTGTGATCGTTGTACACGTTAGAAGTAAACATCGATGAGTAGAAGTTGTCGAAGATATTCCAAAAATAAATTTTTCTTCGTAAGATACATCAATTTAACACATATTCTTGAAATGTTGAGAACAAATTTACAGTAGATAGAGAGTGTTTGTAGCGATAACTACAGTACATATTAGATAGAATGGTCGAGAAGAATAAGTGAGATAGCCTGAACCATTGTGGCACTCCTAGATGATTTTATATGTCAAAGAACATGAAAGATATTTTAGTATTCCAAGAAGATATTCGTTGAACTAATATCGAAAGAGTCCATGCAACGACTAAACTTTATAATCATCCATAGTAATTAAGCGTTGCCTCGATTAAAAAATTGAATATTCAAGTATACTTTGGGCCTCTGTCGTTTTCATCGGAAGCTATCATTACGAGAGTTTGCGAAACTGTTGTCGTTGAACCGCCAATTTGGGTCAAGTGGGCAGAGAATTGCCATTAAAGGCCTGCAAAGTTAAAACGTATCGAAGGTTTCTCTTAGAAACAATGCTTTCTCGAACTTTTTATCTCTTCTTTCCTCGTAACGCATTTCCATAAAAATTCCTTCGAAAGCTACAACGGAATTTATTGTCGCGTCTTAAACTAGTTTCTAAGTGTTTTGGTCGGGCCTCGTTTTTATTTTAGCCGTGAACCGGTTCGATGAGTCGGTGAAATCGTTGGAAATTCTAGCTACGGTCGTAATTGGCGGACATTCTATCGGTCATCGTTGCGTTTTACGTTGGGTGTAACAGTTTTCGAGGACGCTGGAATGGGATATCAATTTTCGCGAGATTATCGTTGGTGGATGATAGACAGAGATTTTCGAACGAAAGAACCCTTCTTATATTTTTTGAAATATTATTATAACACAGAATAATTAGTAAGAATATATCCAGCATATAAAATGTAATATTGTCAGTGAAAGGTAATATATCTCAATGTCGAATGCTTTAAATGTTTTAAATATCTTGATGTGACGGATGTCTCGATTGTCTTAATATCCTGACACTCGGGAACTATTGAATGTTTTAAATGTCGTGAAAGTCTTGTCGTCTGGAAAGTTCTTTTGCAACATAAATGTTAGTATGTTTTACCACGTTTAAACGCGCAGATATAAACGTTCTTGCGCAACGTGGAATATTTACTCGCGGAAACATTATGACGTTCCTGGTTTTTGATAAGGGATCGACGCTTCGAAACGCCATTTCTCTGTAGAATTGGACGCTTCAGTGGGTCGTTTCAGCATCCTTGGCTGGTAGGATTTCCTCGTTGGTTTAACCTTATAATTGAATAAGGCCAATGCTTTATTTTCCTGGCGGATTAAAATAGTCCGAGATGAGGGAACGGCGGGTTGCGCGAAACGTGTCTGATCATGGAAACGCCTGCTTCTACTTTATTACACTACCGCCTCTCTCGTTTCAATTAAATCCCATTCACAGCATCAACCAACCTTTATTTTACATTTTTATTGCTCGCGGTATTTCATCTGCCGCCGTGAAATGAAATTCCCTCCCGGTAGGAGAAGAATTCCACCGCGACGGAGAAATTATGAAACGTTCTGCCTAGGTTTCCAGTTCCGACTCGACTTCGCGATTCAGTAATTTTTATGTTTCATCCAATGATGGGGGGATTAACGCCGTTTCAAGATCGCGCTCGAGAGCCAAAGAAACTCGAAACTGCTTGAAAATTTTTAGAAATCTTTTAAATTTTCAAAGTTTCTTTGGTACTTTAAATATTTAATGGTAAAAGACGACGAACAAAAGTAAACACTAGATTTCGCTGAAAACATCGTTCGCAACAAACAGCGTCTTAAATGTCTAAACTACCTTGGTCACCTTATTTAAATTTTAAATATCCTGTGACCAGCAGGTTGTTAAAAGTTTAAACGTTTCCAAGGCTGTCGAGGCTTTCGAGACTTTTAATCCTTTTGTGGACCGGTGCCAAGTTGTATCGGTCCGAGTGATATTCTCGAACGCGTCGCCACGAGGCAGCAAAAATTTATTTCCATGACAAACACGCGCTTAATAATTCATTACGTCGAATTAAAATTCACGCAACAAATTCCCTGTCGTTTGCTCGCGAACGTCGCGTTCTAAAATTATACCGAAAAGGTGAAAACGTTCAAGGATTTCGAAACGTTCCAGATTTTTAAAATACTCGACACCGTTAACAGTGTCGGGTCTATTTCAGTCTCGAGACAGTTCCGGAGTCGGTAAAAAGTCTCACCGTTCTTGGCTGCGTCCGCGGACAGGAGCATTAGAGCCCCCATCATTAATTATTACCGTGTTGAGTAACGCGTTATCTAATTGCGAATTTCCCGCTTTAACGACCGGAGTGGCGCGGTACCACGTGAATTTGAAATTGTTCCAATATTCCGTTCGGTTGAATCTGAAAACGTGCGCCGGACGAGAGTGCACATATTGTATTCCGTATTGCCCCTTCGAATAGTTGGCGTACGCTGTGGTAATCAGTCCGGATGCATTTTCTTTCGTCCCATTGAGCTCTCGAAAATGATGTAACGGACGTAGCATCCACGTTGTATGGTCAAACACAGTTGTTGTTACTCACGAATACAAAGCAAAACGAGATAAAACAAAACCCCTTCCAACCTGTATTCTCGTAACGAAGTGACAACAATTGACATATAACGATAGGTCTCGTACCAGATTCGGACATAGTACAATTTATATTCGAAACAAAGTATTCCGCAAATAATAAAGTTTGCATGAAATTTTTTTAAGGGTAGAATTCGATAAACATTTATATGATATTTGGAAATAGGTTATGAACCACTGGACTAGCAGAGGGTCGATTTCTCGGCCTTGAACGACAGAATTTTCCGCGAACAGCAATTTCCCGGTGATCTCGACTTGCAATTTGTCCGTGAAAAGGCAGAACAATTCGTACGCTGCCAGCGATCGATTCGAACAGCGCACAATTCCTATATACCTATTATTAGAGCCTCTCTGAACTTTGACTGTCGTCACGGACAAGTTAGCGGGATATTAAGTTAGGTTGGTGCACGTGAAATATGATTTTAGCGGGTAACTTAAGAATTTCTCGAAGTTGAAGAAAATTATATATCATCCAGAAATTCTGATTTATAACGTTAGGGGACCGTTGAAAAAGTAGGAGAAACGTTACTAATATTAACATAATCTTCAATCAATCTATCAATGTCGTGCAAGTTTGGAAAATAGCAGTAAAACAGATCCTAGAAGAAACAGAAAAGAATGGTACAAATTGTATTGATCGACAGATTAGAATCGTGAAACCGATTTTAATTTTGGTTGATATTTATCAGTTAATATGAAATGTGGAGCAGCCTGTACACCGATGCGTCGTCAATTTCCATTAATGGACCGTTCGACGAGTTCGTCGAAAAAACGTTTCCCCGTCGCCTAGTTCCGAGTCCGCGTCGCCTTAAACTCCATCTAATCGGTACTAATAGTCGTCGGGGAAGCGAAACTAGGGCAAAACTCGGCGCTGAAACGCAGTGGAAGGTCGTCGCGATGAAAGTTCTCCGTTTCCGAACTTAATGCCTCTTGACCAGTTTTCACGGTTTATTATTGATGGTTCGTTTCTCCCGGAGAACCAGGGGGCTCGTTCGATCACGTGCCTACGGCTACAGCGCAACTTTCTTTCGATAAAAGATTTATTATCTGCTAGATAACGGGCTCGATGCATTCGTTCGGAGATCCTTAAAAGATATATTCATTACTCGTTTTCAAACTCGATCACTCGGACCACTGTCGAACGAAAAGATTAATATTAGCGTAATAGATGCACAAAAATTGCTAAGTACTCATAGTCTTTGTTTTTATGAATATTCACACGCAACGACGTTACTGATCTATCGACCTTCTCTGTGCGTACGATTAACAATTTTACCGTAACGACATTGTTTATGCCCCAATTGCATTTTCGACGAGTCATCGTTGCTTTGGAACGTTTCACATTTGAATATTTAATTTCTAAGCTGGTCAAAAGTAACGAATAATTTCCTTATAGCGCGATACGATATCAGTTTGAGTTTGCCTTTGCATCGATCGATATTTGGTAAAAATTTCTATTCTCGAGTTGAAAATTCACTTGGCGGGGATTGAAAATTTCGAATCAACGTGATCGTCGACTTATTGGCTTTCTTCCGCGTTGGATTAACAGATTCCCTATAGCGTGGGTGTTTGCGTTGTAATCGTACGGTATCACGTGCACGGAATTGCTCGATCACGACCGAACTTTCGGGGACCCGGCGAGAGTTTCCAGCAGGTTTACCAGCGAGCCCTCGGAAGCTGCGGTGAAATAGCTGAAGTTGCTTCGATTAATTCTCGTTTCTCCGGTGCAGGTAGTTGATGAAGCGCCGTCGGCATTGGTGTCCACGTATTAAATGCTCATAAAACCGAAGCACCCACTAACTAAATTTCTCTACCCCGGTCGCGAGCGTAGTTCCGTAGTTCTCCCTTTACTTAATGGTTACTCTAAATCGAGTAAAAAACTGGAACGTTTCGTTTTTTCGGAGTTTGCTTTTTTACATTTCGCTCGATAAACCTGGGACGAGCTCTTAGGTGCGCGAATTTCCTAACGACCGCGTTGGCCCGAATTTCCGCGTTTCACGTTTTTCGAAAAACCGTGTCGTCGATGAAAAGTTTCCCGCTGAATTTATTTTCCTGGAAAGTCGGGATTCGCTCTCCGCGTTATTTCACTCGACGAAACCGGTTTGATCGGTGATTATAAAATAACAAGATGTTATTATTCGCGTTACAAAAAACCCCCAACTTTAAAAGTCCATCGTTCGAGAACCGGTTGAGCAAGAGACGTTTCGCGATCGACGTTGCACAATAATCAAAGGCAGCGCGTTCTACCTACTCTTAATTCGCCATTGTTCCGTTCGTCGCGTCAGTACGTTATTGTTTCACGTACGCGTTTCACAATCGAACAAGAAATCATCGCCGGGCGTTCGTCAGGTGTATAATTTCGAATTCCATATCGTTCTTTCAAATCAGATTAACAGGTGGCTGCGTGATTGCGTAATTAATCAGAAATTGGATTAACCTCGTTCGCGTCCAAACAAAGAAACGCGATGCTCGGGGACAGTTTTCGCTTACTAATCGTCGAGGTATGACCCGCAGCTGTTTGTTTCTCTCATCGTTGCAGTGCGTAGACGTATCGCGGGAACAAAGTGCACCGAATCTGATACGATTTATTTTGTTCGAACGCGTAATTCTCGAGCGCGCCTTTCCATTCTCGTTTTCTCGCGTTTCGATATTGCGTTTCGAAGCTCGTTAAGTTTAAATAAAATTCGAAGACTCCTGGTGTCCCGGAATATTCTTCTTTGGGTAAATCTTTGTTTTCGACATTTCTCAAATCATTCGAAATCGAGTTTCATCGAGTTTGGTGCAGTAAACTATAAAATCTTGTAACTTTTCAGACATACTTTGTCGAGTATTAAGTACGTGTTTGTGTTATCATATATTACAAACGTAACCTTGCAGCTTCGTAGTAATTATTTTCAGTGAACGTGCATCCTCGAGAAATCAAAATTATCTTAATTGCATATGGATATCGAACGGATGACTAAAACATATGGCACGATTGATTAAAAAAGATTAGATTACGCGTATCGTTCACAAAAATTCGAGCCTGCTGGGGGGATAAGATTAAAGAACTCAGTCAATACATTTATCTATGCATTGGTCTTTAAATCACATTTTCAGTAGTCGTATTCTCTCTGTTATCATTTTTATTTTGCAGACATATTTTCATGCGAAACCAGCGCGTGTACCCGTGTCTCTGTTTCCCATAATGAGAATGAAAGTTAGTCAAACTCATTGTACAATCACAGTACTCAATAAATCCTCATTACCTTTCAAATCTTTTGAATCAATGAAAGTTGACGTGAAACTATGATCCAACAAGTTCGTACTTAGGTTTTCTCTTGAACTATTAACTAACGATGTAGCAACTCGTACAAACAACATTCGTAACTTTGAAAAGTGTAGTCGTCGTTATGCTCGATGTTGACTCATTGTACGCTAAATCGTTACGTCCGTGGCCCCTATAACGCTAGACCTTGGCTATTGTGCGTGGGATATTGGAGCAGTCACCCCCGCCAGCATTCCCCTATTGATGCTCTGTCTTGTCTTTCAGGTTGCGAAGCCAGTATATACGAGGAGGGCAGGGACGTCGTTCGTATCGAAAAAATCGATTCGCGATACGCGACACGAACCGATCGAGGAATGAGCATGCCACGGATGCTGCACCAGGAGCCCGGATGGAAGATCGAGCGCAAAGGTTCGGCCCTTCTGTTGAGACGGGACAGTTCCCATCCGAAGACGAGTCGCGTTTACTTCCGTTGCGACGTGGAGGTGCGCGAATTCGAGCGCGACGAGGATTACGCGCTCGAGGCGGAACCGGAGGCAGCTGCCAGTCCCCTGGCGATGTGCGCCAGTTGCTTGGCGGCCCTCTGCGTGACGGTGATTCTACCCTGGCTGCTGATAGGCGGTTAAAGGCCCCGGGGAGCCGCGATCTTTGGGGGGGATGTCAACCGGTTGTGCACCTGTGACACCTGGACTCGATCGAACGTCGGGACAGTTTCGACGCGCGATACACCAGAGACTATGGACCTCGAATACCTATGGAGGCTCGAATTCGCACGGAGATCGAACCAGGACGCCGATCGAGGAACCGCGGATCGAGGATTCGGGCGGAGATTGGATACAGTTCCTAATCAGTGATACGGGGCGAGATTTTCGGCGCGCACCTCCGCATTGTTTATGAAAATGATCCAAAAGTTTTTGGGGAATTGATAAACGACGCGAGGTAAGGGCTCTTGGAGGCGTTCCAAGGTTTTCAGGAGAAAGAATTCCCCGGGGGATGCCACGAAAGGGTGTACGTCGGGGTCTAGCGACAGTGTACACACAGGTCGTTGGCTCGATCTATGGTGGCGTGTATGACTTGGCAGTTATGTATTAGGAATGAGCTAGTGTCTGCCAGGCAAGATGGCGCGGCTACCAATTTGCTAACGTTGACTACGGGGCTCCGTGACGCATTCTCTGTGATTTTTCTTCTGTGAACCTTGCAATATACGCACTGCCTTGTTGCATCGAATCTGAGGGAGAAATATAAACGGTTATGGGGGTGGTCGCAAGAATCTGTAACGCTAAGGTTGATGCAAGAGGCGAGGCAGTGGTTATTTGCTGCGTTAACGATCTCATCGATTTCTATAATCTTAAGTGAATTATTGGGGCTGCAAGTTTAAACTAATATTGTATCATATATGTTAATGTAATTATTTAAAAATTTATGTAATCCTCCATTAGTTCATTACTTTAAAGGAAAATTGATTTCGATTCACCAGTTTAGTAAAACTCATTAAGTAAAATAATTCGGTTGAGATTGAGAGTCCAGTTAAGGGTTAAGGGGAATAGATTCATCTAATACTATTTAATATTTATTATAGCTAATATATTTTTTCATTTGTTTCAAAGATTTTCGTAGAATTTAAATTGTATATATGGGGAGAAAGAAAAATTAGTTTTGAGTTTAGAACATGGGTTAACAGGAATCATCCCTTAATTATAGGTTGGGGGTACTCGATGACCTTTTCCCCTCAGAACACTTCAATCGACGAGGTTGTTGACATGGTAAATAATTACCGACTAAAACTGTGAAATGTTGAATAGTTTATGTATTATATCGATGAGAAGGGTGAGGAACGTTGCAATAATCGTTCGAATAGAACGTCAGCTTTATGTAACCAAAAAGAAAAATTTTATTTGGTGAAGATCGTGGGAGAATAGGTTCGAAAAATAAATTTATTATACTCTTTTCCGAGTGAAAAGGAGTGTCGCAAGTCCCCCTCTTTGGCTGTTTATGAAAAACATCCAAAAAGTTTAAAAAAATACCCGGCATGAGGTTATGTGTTATGAAGTATATACATTTGTACGTGCAAATTATGTTGAATAATTTATACAAAACGAATGTTGGAATGACTGTTTAAACGGAATGTTAGTTTTGTGTAAATAAAGAGAAAAATTTTATTTTACGAAAACTGTAGATATTACACTTAAAAAATATATTTATTTGATCTGTTTTGTGGACCGGGTTCATCTTGTAATAGTAATTCGCGTCGTTTAAAGGGCGTTATGGCTCGTTCCATACTACCCCTTCTGCTTCACGATAATACCTCTAGCGATGGCGCGGTTGAAACGCTTGATAACGTTAGTATACACAATCGTGTGACACAGATGCTCAGAATAATTATACAGAGAAACGTAAAACAATTCAAGTCTTTTTGGAAGACTTCTGCTTTCAAAATCGTGCAAAATATTATCAAACTTTTGATTGTATCCATCCTGGTGCAAGTAATTGTTAATAATAACTGTTATTTACAGATGCTTGGTGGTCATAGTGTTGTGTTAAAGCCACAATGGTGGAAGGACGAAATCAATCTTCGAAAATAGACACACTATTGCGTGACTAGAATGGCCAGTTATATTGGGTTAATGACAAATGCACTATACACGTTTAGTCCATTAGAATATGTAAAACGTACTCGAATATGCGTACAATACATTGAAATATGCAGGATATGCAGGACAAGCAACATTCTGCGTGATCTAATAATTTGCATATTCTGGGGTACTCGCTGTGTTCTACGTACACCCACGTCACACTGTTGTAGCAATGCCATTTAGCGTTTCAGTCATGCGACAACTAGAAACGCACACGTGAGATAGAAGGGGTAGCATGAACAGTGCCATTCGACCCTCTATTTTATCTCTCGGGCGAAGAAGTCGATGTTTTCGAAAGATTGCAAATTAAGATCGAAAGAACTGTCGAAATTAGTTAAAAAATAATTAGTCAGGGAGACCTGGCTGAGAATCGTGTTTAAATTCCAGGTGCAAAAGGGTTAAGAGTAAAATTCGCGCGCCATATTTTCGAGGATACGTTACGATAGAAAGAAAATTGATTTTCGCAAAGTTTGGTGAGACGATCCGCCCTTAAAACGGGTAGTTTCCTAGGAACGAATTCTTTCGAAGTTGTAGACTCGGACGCGATTGGAAAAAGGCAGTCCGGGGTGAACGATCGTTTCTGTATCGAAAGAATTACGGGACCGTTTTTATATTTATTCGCTGACCCGCGTCGTTTCCCATTTGGAATCCGTTCGACGCCGAAGATAGATGTTTCGAGACAAAAACAAGCCCCCCCCCCCACGGAGGGGACTGGATGGTGGTCCAAGTAGATCTCGTTGAAAGTCGAGGGAGAAAATGCGCGCTGTGTGGACTTTCTGCATAGATACGCGAAACGAGAGGAACATCAAAGGAGGACCGTTCGTGTATATACGTTGGAGCGTGCATAAACCTCCTTATCCGTTTGATGGTATCGACGAATCCTACGACCCCTGGAAACGGAGGAGACCCTGTGCCAAACGAGAGAGTAATACTCGAGATACTCGCGAAAACCTTTCAAAACCTGCAGTCTGCTTACGTTGCACGCGTCGTTCCTTTGTGAATATTTGCCAGCCTGCCTCGTCCTGGATGCTCGTGCATGCGTGCCCCGCGGAGTGTCCCGAAAATACGCGGGCACAATGCCGAAAGAATTCCGCTCGAAAATATCTGGTGGAAAAAGTGGAATGGAATTCTTTTTCTTTTTTTTTCTCCACCCTCGCGATGCTTCGTTTACGAGGAAATCGATTCCGGGAGATGAGCGACTGGGCACACGCATGCTCCATTCGAATTTGACGGATCTCCGTACGGATGTTTGTGCAAACTACGCGCGAACGATAATTTATGATCGGAACGACTATTCTTTCGTAATGAAATTCGCGCGGTTCATCGACGCGACCGCGGATCGCTAGAATTAGCGTTTGAAATGTTTGACAACGAATCCTTTTGTTTTACGCGGATCGGGATTATTATTCGCAGGAAGCCATTTTCTGTTCGTTACTGGTAAATGAAAATTGAAGGAGTAATCGCTATAGGGATATTTTGTAGTATGGACAATAGTAATGAACGTGTTAACGCTAAACCTTCCACGACGCTTCTAAAATTTTGTTTAGAATTTCCAACATATAATGGTATTTTAGCGACATTTAACTTCATGAGTTTTCTTATAGTGTAGGAAATATATAGCAAAGATGGAAGGAGAGGATTTCCAGTTTTCACTGCTTAAAACGGTCTAACAACGCGTATTAAAAATAGTCAAACTTTACATGTGTGCAGTTCCGAAACTACTAGTGCTTTATCTATATTTGAGCCACTGTTAGAAGTGGCAAGGCTTCCCCTTTAAAGTGATTTTTGGTTTTTAGCAATCCGACTTCCCGTTTCGAAGATATCGTAATTTATATAAAAGGGAATGTTTTCAATTTCCACTGCCTCTCCGTGTTCGCCTTACGAAAGCCTATCAACGCGTATTAAAGATACTTAAATTTTAGACGCGTGTAGTTCCGAAACTACTAGTGTTTTATTAATAATTGAGCCATTGTTAGAAGCGGTAAACCTTCCCCTTTAAAGTGGTTTTTGGTTTTTGTCGATCCGACTTTCCGTTTTCGAGATATCGTAATTTATGTAAAGGGGTAATTTTTAGAAAATTCTCTTATGGCGCTTCCCGTGTTAAAGTAGACTACCAACGCGTATTGAAATTGCTAAAACTTTAATTACCTGCAGTTTCGAAATTATTAGTATTTTCTCCATTATTGAGGCATTGTTAGCGGCGGTAAGGCTTCCTCTTTGAAATGGTTTTTGGTTTTTGTCGATCCGACTTTCCGTTTTCGAGATATCGTAATTTATGTAAAGGGGTAATTTTTTTAATTTGACTGTCTCTGTCTCCGTCTGACGCGTCGCGTCGTACCTCTTTGTCGCAAGTGACTCGTGACCGAGGGACCTAGTTTCGGACGTAGTATTTCCAAGAATTTACTACGCACTGTTTACTAGTGTCACGCGCGCGAGTCCATTGATCTGAATGAAATGTAAACAAAGCTTCGGACCCTTATATCTCCGTAACTAGCCACCGCATCGACTCGAAACTAAAATCGCTATATCTTCGGAACTAATTACGCTATCGACTGGTACAAACGCTCATTTTAAAGGGCATTTCATCCCCTATCCGATGACTATACCAACTACTATATTTTATGTTATCTTCTTTGTTTATTTTGACATTTACTTTGACGCTACATACCCAAGGTAGTTTCAGCAATTTTTATTGATTGTACGACTGGTGTGCGATGAAACCGAATAACAAATTGTTTATTTAATTGAAAGTGAATTTAACTTTGCATACAGGGTGTTTACGCGATTACTATCCCAGCATTTTTTCGTAAATAATTGTTTTCTCTGGAACTAACTATGGTATCGACTTGAAGCAAAGTTTTTAAGGATGTTTTAACTTCTATCCGATGAAAACTAAGAAATTTCGATGTGGTTTGTAAATTTTCTGTATGAAGTTAAAGTACTGAGTATGCACATTCTGAGTAGAAGTTTTAGATATTTTTGTACAGATTTGTATAATATGCGACATAAGAGAGAAAGGTATCTTACGAGTAAACCTCAAAACACAACTTTCTATGCAAATAATACAAAAATTAGAATTACGTTGTTTCTTAAAAGAGAAAAAGAAAGGTTATAGTAGAAGTGTCGGTAGGTTCAGTGTTGAGCAACGTTTGATAAATCAGCATATCTTTGCAAACTAAAACCATACGATAAATCATATCCTTTCGTTGACAAGAGTTTCGTGGACGAAATCGTGTTCAGTGATTCGACATTTGCAGTTTTGAATTCTCCGGTTCGCTGTCGGCGTGTGCCGCGTATTTTGAAACACCCTGTGCACACATATATTTTTTCTTTATCGATTCTCCGTTTAACAGGGCAGCCCCGTTATGCCCTGTTCAGCCAGAGAAATGTAATCCGCGATATACGTGGCTTTGTTCGAACGGTTTCCAGCGATGATCGTTCGGTCGAGCGGCTCCCGTTCAACCGTTCGCGTTCGATTCTCTCGATCAATTAAGTATTTTCGAAGCACAGTCGGCGGGGGAGGGGTTTAAAGCCGCCGGGTAAAAGCTGATAAGTTCTTGACGCGAAGTCGGCAAATGGAAAAGTTTCTCAGCCGCGGAAATCCACCGTTTAAGGCGCAGCGGATCGGGAAATCGGGCCAAGTTTCGTGCTCGAAGACTTCCGATAGCGGTTCGTTGGTTCCTTTGAGGAAAAACGGAGGATATATCGGACAAATTTTAATCGAACGCGAATCTCTGTCCTTCGAGGGGAAAAATGTTTCCCCGAGCTGTATTCCGCGAAACGCGGCATCAAAAAAGAACGAACTCGAGCCGGAATACAGAGGCTGGTCGAATAAAATAACTTTGAGAGGACTCGTATGTTTTATACGTTTCGATTCGTTTTTATTCGCAAACCTTTAGAAATATTCCGTTCGTAGTAACGAAAGGGACTCCCAACGACGAATCGTATAAAATGTATAAATCCGTTTGTGCCAGACTGTGGAGCTCGCGGTCCGTGGAGTTAATTTCAGTCGTTTTTTCCGCGTTTCCGTGCAACGCGAACAAGTGTTCCGTGAAAAAGTCATAATTAGAAGGTTAACATGAAATAAGCGAAGTCTGCTTATTTCTAGCGTGCTTCACCTTTGCGTCGTTGTAGTTTTTTTATTAGTTATTTATCAGTTGAAGTAACGATAAACGGTAATGTGTATTTCCCTTTTAAATATCATTATCTTTGTTGTTGTCTGTGCAATTATCGAATTCAGTTATTTCTGAGCGAAGGAAACGTGTCTCTCGAAAATTAAATAGTTGTTTCTTCCGCATATTTTTGCATCGTGGCTCATTGTACCGTACTCTGCCTCATTATAATTTAATTCTATGTTATTCAACATTCTTTGTTTTCCCTCTCTAAAGCTAGGAAACCCATTGTACTGGAGTCTCTCGCACGTCATTGGTTGTATAATGCATGCCGGGAAAAATAATGATTTTTAAAAGGGGAAACTAAATTCCACCTACGATTAATTAACTGCGATTGAATCGGTTAACCCCGCGATATTATGCCTACACGTGATTCTCGTTAATACCAGGTAACTTTAATGGTGAAAATAAAGTTTAAACGGTCGGAGAAAAATAATCGCGCGCTCTTTACCACGGTGGAACGCAAATAGTTTTCTACTTTACAGTTTATTGACGATTAGAGGGCAACACACAGTTTATGGAAATTGCGAATAAAACGTCGGCACGAGCGCGTGTGTGGAGCATCGCTATAGCATTTCAGGGTTAATAGCGAAATGCCAAGTGTATCGATTAACTTTTCTCATGCAGAATGTAACGTGAATTTCATACGATATTGTCGCGTTTAAATATAATATTTCGATTTCCTCGACGAAGATAAAACGTGCATCGAGCATTTAGGTTCTTTTTTTTTGAATCCAGATAGCCGAGAGCGTAAACGCGAACGTATATTCGGTCGAGAAGCAGTCTCGTGGCAAAAATAGTTTTTGGGGGGAAACGCTCCGTTACGATACGACAATCTGATCGTTTTAAGAGGGGAACACGTGTGCAATAAAAGATTGCCTTCGTTCGCGAAACACGTTTCGATTAATGACGCAGATTGTTACGTTCGCGGACGATCGATAAATTTACACGGATGCAGCGTATATATGCCGCAGAAGCGTCATCGATAAATAATCCTGTGCGCGCGCTTGCGGAATTTTGTTGCTTCGAACGATAGACCGAGAGAGAGAGAGAGAGAGAGAGAGAGAGAGAGAGAGAGAGAGAGAGAGAGAGAGAGAGAGAGAGAGAGAGTGAGATGTTTCTAAATATAAAGCGATGAATTGACTGTGCGTGTATGACGAGAGTTGTATATCAGACGAATGCAACGAGATGCAAAGTTACCCTTTGTCCTGATTAGTCGATGTAAAGTACTATTTGTTTATGTTTCTAATAAAACCTCTGACGAGTTACGAAACGGTGGTTATTGCGTTTGTCGTCACTATCTGTAATTATATCATCCTCAGGATACGGAACTATAACACTGAACATAGTTTATTTTTCGACCAAAAAGTCTCTTTTAAAACCTTTGCACTCCGAATTAAATTTCAATCTTGTTACCAGTTGCTCCCAATGCTTTTAAATGTTTTATTTGAAATTTACGTTAATTAAGAAATATTGTATTTTGTAATTTTCAAATGTATATCTCTTTGTTTTGGACTTGACAAAATGTCGAGTGGGACTCGACAAAGGAGTTCCTCAGATAAAAACTGATGTCGAGTCACATTCGACACAGGAGCGCAGAGGGTTAAAACCTTTGCGTTTGGGTGCAAAATAATCGTCGAAAGAAACGTTCGGTGGGTTGAAATTTAAAAACCTATCCTTTGACGTTTGGATAAATGTATCCGCGTGCTTATTTCCGTGGAAATTATATGTTTCCTATGGACACGACGGTGCAACGACCGGTGTCAAAATATCTTTGACCGTTGTAAAATAATGATATATCCGCGGTCCGCAATATGGCGCGAAACGACTTCGCCGCGCCAGTCCCCGTAGATCATCACGCTCAATATCGCATTTTAATGCAGTTGTTTAATAAATTAAAGGTTCGAAATGCACGGTATTTTCTGGGACAACCTGTAACATCGTAGTCGAGGCACCGAATGAAAGTTTAATCGCGTTACCTAACCGAGCCCACGTAACGCTATCGATACCGTTTGGAAACTTTCCACCAATCGATCCAGCGATTTGCCAAAATTTCAGGGTGGGGGGGGGGTGGTGGGAGGGCCGTACGCCCTGAGCGTTACGCGGCAAGATTTTTTCGTCGAGTTAAATAACGCCCGGACGACGGGAACGAAACGTTCGAAACGATAACAGCCCCGCTTTTGTGTCCCGATTTCAAGGCAAACAAACCTCCTTTTATTTTCATCGGTGTTGCTACGCGCTGGAATTCCAGTCGATATTTTCGCGATACAACAAAGGACGGGCACGAATCGGACACGAGCCGCCCCAGAGGGTGGGGAAAAAAGCTGTCGGCATAAATTTCTGTTGGCTGCCTTGCATTTTGACGTTTGACCGCGAAATATGCGCGCATCCCCTCCCTCCCCCTCGAGCCCTCGTCCCGTAAATCCCGTTGAAACGCGCGAATTTAATTTCCCGGTTACCGCGGACGCATAAATATGCATCGCTCTGTGGTCTCGCCCTTTCCTGATTTATTCGCGATTACGCCGGAATGAATTTCACAACCGTTTCCGGGGAATAGCGACAGAGTGACAGGCGTTTTCAAAGATCTGAATGATAATCGCGGTTACGGGTGACAGACATTATCGAGCAAACGCGTTCCCACGCGTGCTACCAGCGACAAAGGGAACGTATTTAGGACGGCTGATCGAAATCGTGCTAATTATTAACAGCGATCATTAAGGGGGGAGCTTCGTGCAAAGTGGTAAAACGAGATGCGATATTTGGCAATTTTTTTACAGCATAAGGGCTCGATGAAACTTTTCGCCAATTTCCAGGTACATTCTTTAACGTTTCAAGGTGTAAATATTTTTTTTTCGGTATTGTTTTATAAATTTTGGGTGAAATAATAAATGTTATTCCTTATGTGCAGTCTAGCTGCTAAAATAAAGATATAAATATTTTTTTTTTGGTACTGTTTACCGACTTTGGACGAAATAATAAATGTTATTCCTTATATGCAGTCTAGCATTTTGTTCCTTTGACCCAGAATAAAAAATCGAATGAAATTTCATAATAGTCAATCATAATAACAATCATAATAGTACCACCCATCGTGTGAGCTAACATTTTTTATAATAATAATTATTTAAACTATGTTTATTGCATAATTGAATTAGAAATTTATTGCGAGAATTATTTTTTCTTCGATAATTTTGCATTCTCTAACCTCTTCAAGCCCTTGCCCACATATGTGGGCGTTTAGTTTTTTTTTTTATAATTATAGTTACTGTCAATAATAAATAGAAAAAAAAAATCGTGAAGAGGTTAAGGATGATTTCAGTTCATACGACGCGGAGTATCATTACTAGACTGCGGATCTTTATGCAAATTCACATTTTTATTAATAGAATTAATGAAACGGAAGCTTCGCAGAGGGCTGTCTCAACCCCTAAATATAATAATTCGTATCTTACTTTAAGTATTTCTTATATTTTTGCATATTAAATGCATTCTGTAGTTTTTTCAGGATTAAAATCTCCCATAAATGCATAAACATCCGCAGTCTAATCATTACAAATAAAAATGCTAGTGCGCCATCGATATATGGAATAACATTTATTATTTCATTCAAAATCGATAAAACGTGACGAAAAAAAAATATTTATATCTTGAAATCTCAAAGAATATACGTGAAAAGCTTCATCTAACTTTCATGCTGTAAAAAATTGTCAATTATCTTTACACGAATCTCACCCCTTAAATCAATCCTAATCTGCGTACGCGAAACGCCGATTTAAACTTAAGAAGATGCAGAAACGCAGCTTTAGGCTCAGAAAGGACACCTTTCCAAGTCATAAGTGTGATTAAAACTTTTAATTTGGAAAGATTTTTCCCAAGTTGCTTCAGCCCCCAATGTTTGCTCCGCATACGTGGAGAAATGACTCCAGCTTCGAATCGAAAGACAAACAGTCCTTCGACGTGGCCTCAGGCTACGCGTTTTCGAACGAAAAGAATTCCCTCGGTGGCTTAGATAATTCAATTTGCGAAGCAAACGATACGAAGCGACCGTGCGAAGTTTAATGAAGCCGGATTAGGATATTAGCATATCTGGGATGAGGATCGGCGCGCGGAGGAGTCGAAGACATTTCAAGATTATCTGCGTTTCCGCAAACGATACCTGGTACACTTTTTGTCGCGAGGTCAAAGAGTCACGGTGCTTTATGAGCTCAGAGGACTCTTTAATTAAACCGTACGAGTGACAAATGGTTCTTGAAATTGCTATTTAATATGCAAACTGCAGCAGAAATCGCACTGTGTGTGTACTTGTTACGCGACAAATCATCGCGCGAAGATAAATCTAAGTTACATAAAAGTTGATACACGTACTGTTTCGCTGTGAATCAGACCAAACAGTATGAAATGCGACTTTCAAAGGAGTCATTAACCCTTATTATGCTGGATTATTCTATCACCGTTACGACTATCGAATATCCAGATTATCCGGATAATCAACAAATTGAGACCACTCGGGTCTGATTTTGCGCATAGCCGTTGTAAATCTTCTTATTTAACTCGCGCTACCGAACATATTTCACGAAGTTATCGGAGAAGATCTCGTTCCGTTTACGTAACGCGTACCCCCCTCCTCCCTGTCGAAGTTCTCGAGTTTCAGCGCGGACAAGGTTGTTAAATTATTATTTAGCGACAGTTATTTCCATATAGAAGTGAATCACCCGTTCGATCCGCGGAGGCTGCGAATAATCTGGATCGAGGTGAACCAGAAACCTGAACGCGCGTAAAAGAATACGATAGCCGTGATCAATGTCTCCGCGATGTATGGTATCTTGATATTTAAGTAGACCACCGGTTTTCGGTGACGATACCATAAACGAGGAGATTCATCCTGGTCGTCCGTGCATCGGCAGAATTGCAGCGAATTTGTTTGGAAATTCTGTCGTCGTGTTATTAAAAATGATAAAAAAAAAGTAGGGTTGGGGAGGGTGGGCTGCGGAATTAATGAATTTCGGTGTAATTAAATTTGCATAGAGCACTTTTAGGTAACGGGGTGGTCGTGATACAGTTTTTTTTTCTTTTTTTTTTTTTTGCCGCGATTTATTCAAATCCACGCGGAAGGGAAATTTCGTTATCTTTTATTCTTCGGCCCTTTTACATTGTTTCGCACACTTCGGGGCACGTACGACGATAATGAAGGTTAATTAGACGAAGATGGGTTGACGCATCGAGCGTTTAAATTAATAACAGCACGCTATCTACAGTCTCCGGGAGAATATATTCAGCCAGCGTGGTTGATTGTCGTAAATTGGCTTCAATTTCTTCAATTTGCAAGGAAGTAAAAATTCATGTACCGTGGGCGGCATCTGTGACCGTCCGTGCTCAGCCGTGGATAACGTAGGTACTGATTTACCTCCCGAGTCGCGTGCATCGCTGCGCTTTCGACCACGTATGCAGGTGGCGCATCCACGTACGTATCAATTCGCGCCAATAGTTAATCGCCCATCCAAGTTCGTCAGAGGCACGTTTTGTCGGTGTTGTGCTCCGTTTTTTGTCAAATCTTTTCAACAATCAAACAATGTCAAGCGACATACTAACGCACAATACTTTTATTAGCTTGCAAGGTAACTGCGTACGCTCATCTGTCTTTCCAGCGACCGTGATCTTATCGAAAAGCACGAAATACGAATCGTCGAAAGATAACCCTTTTCACGGTCGCCATTACCAAGCACCGAAAGCAAGGTCGTCATAGGTTAATGCATTTCAAATATATTTTGTTTCAGTTGCCGGATTTGAACAATCTCGATGAAAAGGTGAGTGGTACCACGAATTCCCCAATTCATCTATACAAATAGCTCTCAAGGTATCATTATGGGTAAGTGAAATCTAAGAACAATCTGTTTTTCTTTTCCGATCGTCAGTTTTCACGAATCGAAGTATCTCGATCCGTGGTATTATCGAACGTCGATATACTTACGATTCGAACCGTTTTCGTTCGCGAACGCGAACGATACCGTTTCGAGATGGATACAGCGTCGCGGACCGTTGGACACGCGTACGCGAGATTTCACGTCGGCTTAGAAATTACGAGCATAGACTGAAGAGGACGTGCTCGGAATCGCGAATGAGGCGTGGGCCGGATTAATTTCTCGTAAGGAGGGAGGTTATGTAATCCCCGGGAAAAATATGTACGCGAAACTAATAACATTTCGTGACGGTGGCGAACGGGGTAGACGAACGTTGTTAATGCGAGCAAACAGTTTCGAAGGCTGCACCGTGCCCCGAAAGTTGCTCGCGCGCGTCTCCGAATCTGCCACTTGGATTACATTACGCGCGTTAGAATCGAGCTCCTTACGGCTTACGTGGGATTTAGAACAATACGGGAGTAAATCTTAATGATAACGTTGATACAAGCTTGCTCGATCGAACAACTATACTTCGTTCGCATGGAACGTTCCGCGTTTGGGACCGATGTTAAATATTTTTTTTCCCGTTATATCTTATGGAAAAGAATATCACGGTGCAGTTGATTCAGGCGTCAACACGTGGTACAGGTAGCCCTCCTACAACACGGTTTCGCTATAACACTGTACTTCTACAGCACTGGATAACATGATTTTTTGCTAACATATTTAAAAGCTAAATTACATGAAAAAATATAAACAAATTATAATTTATTAAATTAAGGTCGCGTTAAATTAAAATAATATTTTTTGTTTTGTGTTACACATACACTTATATTTTTCATAAAAATTAAGTTGCTTATGTAGAATTAAAAAAAAAAATATTTGTTTTAATCAATTTTCATAACACGGTTTCACAGAACACGGTATTTTCTAGGAACCTATCTGCTGTGTTATAGGAGGGTTAGAATAAATATAAATTGCAATAAGTTGTAATAGGAAAGATGTTTCTCGGGATGTACTCTAAACAGAACACTTGTACTTAATGGGGTTTAGTATCTCGTAATTCGATACGAAACATTTTACGCGCAGATGGAACTCGATAATAATTTAAAAACATTATTTATTGCGGCAGCTTTGAACAAATGTGTTGGAGCTTCTTTCTTTTCGCGATTAAACGCAGTTATAACTGCATCAACACCTGCTCCGCTTTTAGCTCGTTCATCAACTTTAGCGATCGCAGGTGTTCGCTTACTAATTCGTTATAATCAAATGTTAATGCAGAATAAATTGCATTTATTAATGCTATCTCGAAATTAACAATTACTCAAGGTGGAATTATACGCTAGTTTCGAATACGTTTACGTTGTACGCGCGATCCTTTCAGCGGAACGATCCGCGGCGTTCGCGATTTATTGCCAGGACGATCACGCGTGATTTTCGTCTATTCTCGATTGTTTAGCCGCGCACAAGGTAAGGAGCTTCTTTCATATTCATTAACGCGTAAATACATTCGGCCATCGAATCGATCTCGAACACTTTCGAACGTTTCGCGTTTCTGTATTTTGTAATTTAAATGTTTCATTTGTATATCAGCGAACGAACGGATAAATGATCGCTTATCATTTATTTGTTATTCGAGATTATTATTCGCATAAGAATTCTGCGTTGCTGGTGCACGTGTACCCGATAACATTCAAAATCGTATCACCTCGAAACAGAATCTGTCTTTTCACTTTTTTTCACGCAGTACGACTCGTAGCTGTTACCGGACATCCTGTGCAAATAATGCCTCGTTCGTAACTTAAAATATAATTCATTCGAGGGTTAAAGTGTATCCCGTGTACTTTTTTTCTCTCTCTTGTGATTCAACGATGGTAACCCTATCCGCGTGTTATTGTTCGTTGATTTTTAACGAAGTTGCGTAACGCGCGATTTCCACGATGCCTCGCGATAATTGGCCGATTATTCAAGAAACGGTCGACGAGCACGGTGGATCGGGCTCGTAGGTGGAGCCACGCGGAAACAGATCATTAAGATAATCGATCGTGAAATTACGCGCGCTCCTTCGGTCAGCCGGTGACTCGTGAGAACAACACGGTTTATTGTTCGAACGATCGCACGCTGGGATAATAATCTCCAAAACGTGACAATTGCAAAATCTCGCGTGTACTGATTTCAACGACTGTTAACCCTTCTAGATCCGAAAAGTCGCGGGGTTAACGAATAAACATCGATTCTAAAAATATAATTATTCGAGGTTTAATGGGCTAAGTTGTATCGTACGCGTTTAGCTTGTGAAACGTTACAATGTCGCAATTGAGGCAAAGTGTATACTCAATCTATGATGGTATTTAATTAAATCGGTTTCTAGTCCGTAACAACATTAAATATTTATGACTATCCGGCGAAGGCTTCAATTTAGTAGTAACATTCGTTATTAGGTAACATTATTTTTCCGCGTACTTCCGCCTTGTTTTTTAACCGCTTAACGCTCTATACCGAGTATAATCGCGAGCATGCATATTACATTTTTTCGTTCACCCGAGTTGAACCGAACTTTGAAAGTATAAACATTCGGGTGGCTGTCGAAAACAAACAAATTAAACTATTTAAAAAAAAAAAAAATGCTAAATACTGGTTTTACTAAAAACCAGTCAAAATGACCGATTCGTAATTTCTAATAAAACCTGGGAAAAATTTATTTGTCTGAATTTTGGGAAATTTATCGTAATTTTTTATAAGAGAATACATAAACAATTATTTCCATTGCATTATATATTTCATCGCGTATCTATCGTTTCAATTTCTTTGGTACAAATAAACACACTATAATTGTCGGTAGTTCTAGTGTTAAAGTGTAAAAAAATATTCATAAGATTCAATAACAATACTGGTGTTTCGGATTTTTATTAGTCGAACACTTGTGTACAAATTCGACTTTAAAATTTTAGGAATTGTTATACTTTTAATTTATGGAAACAAAAAAAATATTGATTTTTTCGATCTGTTACACGAGAATCCCCCCTTAAATTTTCTATAAGAGAATGAATAAACACTCAATTTCATTGCATTTCTAGTGTTAATATATGCTTGCAGCAAATTGTTTAATCTTCGAAAGATTTTTCAGTATCGTCGATAGTTTGCTCAAAGACTATGCCCTCTCGATATTTAGCGATATCTGATTCGATGGTCTGGCATTTATAGCGAACGGTGGTCGTTGCATCACAGATTTTCGTATCACGACATTGTCTGCCAGATCGATCGCAATTCCATAAGCGGCAATCTACTTTTCTCGATCGTTTTCCATTATTTTTCGGCCGTTCAGAACGAATTCACCGATCGAACGCATTATCCTAATGAAACAACGCTCGCGAACGGCGTACGTGCATACGTTATCGACTATTTATCCTCCCGGGTGAGATTTCCGAGAACCGTTGTTACTCAATTACGTGGAAAACAAAATCATCGAGTTCGAATGGAGCTAATTTCAGGGAAACGACGAGATCGCGGTCACGTCGCAGAACGAACGATTCCAGGAACGTATTCGATAACTGTCTCGATTCTAAAACGTATCTAATTATGTTTCGGAAGTATCAGGATCCTTGGAAAAAATTCATTAGGCTTCCATGACGTCGACACGATAGATTCGATGCAATCGTTAAAATTAACTCATTAGCTCCCAGAAAAACATTTTTAGTATATCACAATTACTTCAATATTACAAAGGCAATAATTTGCGTCTAATTCTTAGGTATTCTAGGAATCGTGTCACGCGTTTCTAGCCTCTTTCGTGCGCAATTAAACGATTAAAAATAGTGTAATGGTAAAAACGACTGACGACAAAGTAACGTTTATACTTTCATAGTGGAATCCCTGATAAAAACGACTGACGACTGAATGATGTTTACACTTTCGATGTTGGAATATTTTCGAAGCTAACGATATGCACAATTTTTACGAACTTCGAGGGGTGATTTCGCGGAAGATCGTGCGGAAACCGCGAAACGCGATCGAAAGAGACGCACGGGAGAGTTCGACGACCGAGTCAAGTAGATAACGAGCAACGTGTCGTCGCGGAATTGAAGGATATTATTTCGCGAGCAGGATTGCGTAACACACCGGCGACGATTACGCGCGATGTTGCGCGGGCCTAGGTAAACGTTCACGGGATCACGAATCGTCGAGCGAAATTACGAACGATTCGTTCGCAGCGTAGGGGGAAGAATTAAGCTCAAAATAAAGGGGTTAAAATGCTTGGCGGTTCTCGAGTATTTGTTTTGCTTTCCAATCGTCGCGTTCTTCTTCCATGAAACGCTCGATCAAATCGTTCCACTTTTTATTACTTTATGTGTTACGTATTTTCATGGAAATATAATTGTAACAGTTTTTTGAATGAAAGAAATAGTTATTGTCGATAATAGTTGAGGTTGAGGTTGATTGAATTACGTGAGCCCTGTTGTATTGGTGATTATTCACCAATTTTCCATAAATGAATAAATAGCTGTGTAGTCTAGTGATCATATAGAAAACATAAATATGGTTTCAAGTACAATAAATTTATTATACGATACTAATTGAGGGTGAAGCTGATCGAATTACGTGGTTTATCCTATATAGAATTTAATTTTTAACCCTGTTGCATTGGTGATTATTAGACTGCAGATCTTTGTGCAAATTCATATTTTTATTGATAGAATTAATGAAATGGGAGCTTTATAGAAGGTTGCCTCAACCCTTAAATATAATAATTCGTATTTTTAAATATTTCTTATATCATTGCATGGTAAGTCCATTCTGTAGTTTTTTGATGATTAAAATTTCCCATAAATGCATACACATCAGCAGTCTAGTGATTATATAGAAATGATAAATATGTGCATTCGAGGTACAATGAATTTATTTGAACC